TTTTCATTCTTCCTCGGGGCCCGTCAGTATACCTGTCTCTTACCGTCTCTCTCTGGCCAGCTCTGGATCCCTGTTTCTTCCTTCTTCCCTCTATCTGCCCGGTAGCCCCTGGCTATTTTTATTTTCTCCATCTCTTGCTGCCCAGCGCCAGATCCCTGCTTTTTCATTCCTCATCCTCAGTCCCATAGCCCCATGGTTTTTTGTCTTTGTCTGGCTCTCTTTGTCTGGCTCCCTGTCCCTGTTGTTTGGTTTCTTCCTTCTTGGCCCCGTAGCACGTTGTGATTCTGTTTGCCTCTCCTTTCACAGCTCCCCATCCCTCCCTTTCCATTGCTCCCTCTCTGTCCTGTTGCCCCTTGGGCCGTGCCCACCCCCCACCCCCCCGTCTCCCCCTTTCTCCATCTGCCTCTTTCTTGCTTCCCGTCCCTGTTTTTCAAGTCCTCCCTCTGACGTGTAGCCTGTCGCTCCTTTCTCTATCTCTCTGTGTCCCTCCCAGTGCCCCCGTTCTTTAATCATTCCTCTCTGACCTTTACCCTGCCGCTATTTTTGCCTGTCTTTGTCCCTCTCTGTCCAGCTCCCCGTCCCTGTTGATTAGTTCTTCCCTTGCGGAGCCGCGGACGAACAACACGCCGAGACGGGTTCAGTGTGGGTGATAGAGCATCAATCACCGTGTGTCTTTATTGGTCCAGGGTACATATATTTATACAGACAATGATAATTATGATGCCTACTAGTCACTAGCTGATTGGCTTAAGCTCTAAAGGTCGTATTCGCACAGTCCACCTACTTGCAGTTAGCTTACAGCACAAGCTTCTCATAACACTAAGTTTCTCATGCTGCTATTTCTGATTCCTCTTGACTTGTTTTCGATACACGACAGTACCATAACACAATGTTTCTCAGACCACCGTTACCATAACACTGGGTTTCTCAGACCACTATTCCTAATTCCCCTTAACCTGTTTTCGACACACCACGGTACACAGGGCTGAAGCGTCCTTGACATTCCTCCTGTAACAGCAGCTGCGAGCAGCTGCAGGCAAACCCTAGTGAGGCCCAGCATCAGCAGCTAGAGCAGGCTCTGATCATACAATTGCTCGGTGGGCTCAGGACCCTTGTCTCTGAGCCATTCTCCAACATTCCCTCTTCTTGCACTTACCGCTATTGCCTGTGATCTCCATCTCTTTTCATCTGGCTCCCCGTCCCCAGCTGTTAATTCCTCCTTCTGCCCTCTGTAGTCTGGAATTTTTCTTTGGTGTCTCTCTCTCTGGCTGGTTCCCTCTCTGTGTTTTAATCCCGCATTCTCTGTCCCATAGACCCACCACATTTGCCTGTATTTCTCCCCCCCCCGCCCCTCTCTGTCCGGTTCCCCGACGCTAGTTTTTATTTCCTCCCTCTCTGTCTTGTAGCCCGTCGCCGTCTTTGTGTTCCTTTCTCCGTGTCTCTCTGTCTGGCTCCCAGTCCCTGTTCTTGACTCGCTCTCTCTTCGCGGTAGCCCGCAGCTACTTTTTTTTGTGTCATCCATTGCATTCTGTCTGCTCCCCTGGCCCTGTTGATGAATGCCACCCTCTGCACTCTGCCGCTTTTCCCCATTCTATTTCTGCCTCTCCCTGTCTGGATCCCTGTCCCTGGTTTTTCAATTCCTCCCTCTCTGCCGTGTTGCCCTTGCGATCTTTTGCCTTTCGCTGTCTCTGCGTGGCCAGCTCTCTGTCCTTGTCGCTTTTTTTTGTTTCTTGACCTTGGTGTCCCTGGCTCCTCGACAACCCTATTTTAGAATTCCTCCCCCCCTTTCTTTGTGTACGCACTGATATTCTTTCTCCTTTCCAGCTTTTTTTTTTTCTGGTTCCCTGTCCCCATTTCTTAATTCTTCCATCTCTGACCTGCAGAGTGTGGGCATGTGTTTTGTTTTGTATTGTTGCAGCTCCTTGCCCCTTCCCTCCGTTGTTGGCTGTCCTAGCTCCCTGTCCCCATTGCCTTTTTCCTCCCTCTCTGCCCTGTTCTTTGTTGCTTTATTGTCTTTCCCTGTCTCTCTCGGTCCGGCTCCCTGCCACCATTCATTTTTTGTCCCTCTCTTGTGCAGCTCATCCCAGGTTTTTTCTGCATATCTATCCTGCTCGCAGTCCTTTTCATCTAAGGAAACATTAAGCCCCCCCACCCTCAGGAAACATTGCACCTGGGGGTTGAGATATGCTGATTGTTTGTTGGGACATGCCCTTTGTTTGTTGAGACATGCTGTTTATCTGATAACATGGGAGTTGCAAGGGGAGGGCTGGCACCAAAGTTGTAGTTGGGGAATCCGGCACTGGGGGCTTGGGGTGGAGGATATGTTAAGGATTTCTTGGAAGTAATTGTGATATTCCCTCCCTATTCCCAGAATTGTGATACATAGGTAACATTCTACGTAATAAAAAGGAGCCGCTTCTCCCTCCAAACACGCATGCATGTGGAGGAGTTATCCCCCATGTGCCCAGCGCTGAATAAACGTACCTACTTTATAACATTACTGGTTGTAAAGTCATGATTCTGCTCATCACTTTGTTGTTCTGCCCTGCTCTTTCCCCCTCTTCCTGCTGCCTCTCTTCCTGCTGCTGTTGCAGTTACCTTAACAAAGTAGCTTGAATCCTAGAATGTTATTTTGATTTTAGTTTAGAATATTATTTTGATTTTAAAATGGAGTTATAGCAGCTTTAAGAATATAAAGCACACTAAGGCCCTTAAGGAATAGGTAGCTAGTATGGTGTGTGCCTTGAACACTGTCTGAATCATTATGGACTCTGAATCAAAACAATGGGTACTGGTTATGGATCTTGAGTCAAAACAATAGGTACCAGAAGATACTGGGTTTGGTTTGGAAGATCAGCCAAAGAAGAAATGAGCATCAGCCAAAGATGAATTGGTGATGCGCAAGGATGGAGTTCAATCAGCGCACACAGTGATGAAGACTATTGACGACCACCAGAGGACCCCCGTCCAACATAACCATGCATGGGTTAGAGACATTTGCATATCATAATGATTTCCAGGAAATAACATGAATATGCTAATCATTACACTCCCATCATTCTATTCAAATCAATCAGTAAAGATGACCAATGATTTCTGTAGAATAGGAATATAGGTAAGGTGCGGTAACTGAAAGCCAATCATTATTAAGGTCAAACTAAACTTTGTGAATTTTGTTGATCTTGTGTAACCATGACTCTGCTGAAAAAGTGTATAAATATGTTGTGCTTTGTACCTGTCGGGGAACACGTTTTTTTGTGGAGTTATCCCCCGTGTTCCCCAGCGCTGGAATAAAGAAGTGCCTGCTTATCTGCCTTGTGTTCTATTCGCAATTGCCACCGCTAACATCTCTGTCCTCTCTGCTGCCACAGAGGTCCATTATAAAAGTACAGGGGAGGAGGACCACACTTTGTCTAAAATAGAGAAGAGGAAGGAAAGTCTAAACGAGGGCCCCCTTGGCTGGGCATAGATCAATGTGCACAGTGTAAAACTTTGGTCATTGGAAGAATGAATATATATGGAATTGGCGACTCGCAAAGTGACTATAATTTATGTATGAGGCTCTTTACAACGATCCAAATTTTAAGAAAAGTAAAAGAATTTACTACTGGAAAAAGAAAAGGGGGGAACTGATCTGAGAAAACACCCGATAACCCCCGCCTTTCAGGAGATGCTCACACTAACTCGATAGCGCCCCTCCCCCCCCCCCCCCCCCCCCCCCCCTTGGGATGCTCACCAGATGGCCTCCATCCATCAAAGGATGGTAACTCCTTTGCAATGGAATGAGAAAGAACAAGATGGACCATTGGTGGTCCCTATCAAAGGGCGGTAACTCCCTTGTGATTGAACGGAAGGAAGACAGGATGGGCCATCTCTGGTATCTCTTGTCCTTGAGATAAGAGGGGAACTGAAACCACTAAGCCAGAAAGACCAAGGAGCTGCAAATTAGCCCAGACTTGAAGGACAAGGTATACGTGACTACAGGACTGAGCTTGCGCAGAAGTAAGGGTCAACTAGCAAACACCGTGAAGAAGACTATGAGCCTTCATCTGAAGACCCCTGCCCATGACCACCAGGGAGCACTGTGCAAACGCAACAGGAGGCATTTGGGGTGGGGGGATATGTTAATGATTTCTCAGAACTAATTGTAATATTCCCTCCCTATCCTCAGAGTAATGATGCATATGTATTAGAGTAGATGAATACGTAACATTTCTAAGCAATAAAAAGGAGCTGCTTTTCGCTCCAAGTGGGGAACGTATTTGGAGGAAATGATTCCCCTGTGCGCCCAGCGCTGAATAAACATACCTACTTTATAACCTTACTGGTTGTAAAGTCGTGATTCCGCACCTCATCATCTCGATGTGTCATTTGTATTGTAATTGTATTAGAGTTGCTGACCAATCGGTGTCTAATAGGAGCATTTGGAAAAGCACCAACCTGTGATTTGGGTGTATAAAAGAAGCACCCGCAGCTGCCTTTAGCTGTGCTGGATTTGAGGAAAATCCACTGAGCCCCCAGGCCTGAATAAAAGACGGTATTGCTCCTGAGCCTGTTAAGATGACCTTATTGCAGGCCGGGTACCGACGGCCCCCCTGCTCCCCACGGGCTCCAGCTGTGGGCTGGGGCCGGGGCAGCTCAGGTGGGACCGGTGAGGTGAGGATGGGACCGGGCCAAGGTATTAAATAGGCTGCAGCTGGGGAGCTGGGGAGCTGGGGATGGACTGGGGCAGCCCCCGGTGCAGCCCCCGGTGCAGCCCCCGGTGCAGCCCCCGGTGCAGCCCCCGGTGCAGCCCCCGGTGCAGCCCCCGGTGCAGCCCCCGGTGCAGCCCCCGGTGCAGCCCCCGGTGCAGCCCCAGGTGCAGCCGGTGAGGCTGCGGGTGGGGCCGGCCCCGCCGTGCCGAGGGGCTCCAGCTGGAGTGTGTGTGTGGGGGGGGGCTCCCTGCCCGCGGGAGCTGGCCGAGGAGCGGAAGAAAGAGAGTCTCAGTCGCGGCTGCCCGCGGCCAGGAGCGGCCGGTCCGTGCGGCGAGGAAGGATTCCTCCCGGCCGGCCCCGACGGGGCGCAGCACCGGCGCCGGGAGCTCGGCGCCCCCGAGCCGCCGGGTGGCCGGGAAGCCTCGCGGGGGAGGCGCTCGGAGGCGCGTGCCGCCCGCCCCCGCGTGGGTGAGGGTCGGGCAGCCGGCGCTGCGGAGGTGGGAAGGGGCGGAGGCGGAGAGACGAGCCCCGGGGCTGCGAAAGCCTCGGGCCGGGGCCGGTACCGGGAGCTGCGGCGGGTCGCGCGTCCCCCCGGGCCGGTCCCGGCCGCGCTTCTCCAGCTGCCCGCCTGCTCCCGCCTCCGGCTGCCTTTCGGGCTGTCCGGGTCCCCGCAGCTTTTTGCTATTCTACCGACACCCCCCCGTACGCCGTTGCCTTCTCCACGTCCTTTCCTCGCCTCTCCCTTGCTGGCTCCCCAGCCGCCTGAAGCATTTCATTCCTTCCACGCTGCCGCCTTCCTCGTCGCTTGTGAAAATCGCATTGAAAGGTCTCCCTCTACCCGGTGACTTGTATCTATTCTCGGCATCTCCCTGTCTCTCTCCCTCCCTCACTGAAATCGCGTTTAGCGTTAACGAGCGGGCATTACTTTATTTGGCCGGGGACACAAGGGAATCGTTCTGCCTAACGTGCTTGCTGTACGTTACCATAGCCAAAGCTTATATCGCTCCGTTACGTGTATATTTATCCAATTTCCAAAAAGTCATTACTGTAATCACATAATTATTATGTGTGCAGTTTAGGTCTCTGAGGGACTTCTGCAGGGGTTGTCGGTGGTCTCCAGCCACCTCTGGTGGTCTTTGGAGAGCATCCTTTCTTATACTTGTCTACGGTTTGGAATTGGTCTTTCTTTGGTTTATGTTTGCACTTTCTTATCTCTTGCCTAGCTTCAGCTAGTTTGTTCTTTTTCAGAGGGCCTTAATCTTCAAGGACAATGGCTTGCGATTAGGAGTCTCCTGATTTCCTCACGGGGCCTCTCCACGTCTACGTTTCCTGGGAGGCGTTGATCGCGCTCGCCTAGCTCAGGGACCTCTGTGTGACGGACAACGCGTTGCAGGTGTTTGACCAATTGCTTAAGTTTTTACACTACCCTAAACAATGTTTTTTCCTTCACTGTTTTTCAACAAGAGGGCACTGGGAGGACAGGAGGACGTGGGGAAGGACTGGAGGACACTGGGGGACATTGGGAGGTCTGCGGGGCCACGGAACATAAGGGGAGACCCTGGACACAAACTGGGAGACACTGGATGTGCTGCAGAGGGGCCTGGAGGACACTGGGGGCGTACTGGGAGACACGGTGGGGACTGGAGCGATACTAGGGGGTGTCTGGCAGGACTTGGAAGACCCTGGCTGGACTGGGAAATGCCGGGATGGGCACTGGGGGACACTGAGAGGGACTTGAGAGCACTGGGAGTTACCAGGGAGTCTGTGGCAGGACTGGGAGACACTGAGGGACTCTGCAGGTGCACTGGAGGGACGCTGAGAGGGACTGGGGGGTGCTGGGAGACAACGGATGGTCTGAGGGGATACGGAACAGAGTGGGAGACGCACTGCAGAGGACCGTGGAGGGGATGCTGGGAGGACTGAAAGGTACTGTAAGGATCCTAGGGGGTCTGAGCAGGACTGGGAGGACACTGGACGGGCTGGGACACAGTTGGGGGCACTGGTGGGGCACTGGAAGATACTGGGAGGGACTGGAGGGCACTGGGGGAATACTAGGGGGTCTCTGACAGGACTAGGAGGACACCGGATGGACTGGGAGATGCTGGCGGGCACTGGGGGACCCTGGGAGGGACTGGAGGATACAGGGAGATGCTGAATTCTTTGGGAGGCACTGTGTGTGCACTGGGAGACACTGGGAGGGAGTGGAGGCCACTGGGGCTGACTAGGGGTCGAAGGTGCAGGGAGTCTGGTTGGTGTGCAGGGGAACCACACAGTGCAAAGCAAGTCTTCCTGGGTGCACGGGGCTCAGACAGGGTGCAGGGGGTCTGTTTAGGTTGCAGGGGGACTAGGCAAGGTGTAGCAGGGCTAGTTGGGGTGCAGGGGTTCTTTCTGGGGTGCGGGGGGTCTGGTTGGGGTTCAGGAGGCCGAGACAGGGTGCTAGGGAGCCAGAGAGGTTACAGCGGGTCTGATTGGGGAACAGGGAGCCAAGACAGGGTGTAGGGGGCACATACAGGGTGCAGGAGGTCTTCTTGGGGGGGCAGACGGTTCAGACAGGGTGCAGGCAGGTTGCAGGGCATCTGGTTGGGGTGTGTAGGATCTTGTTGCGGTGCAGGGGTTGTGTGTCGTGTGCGAGGGGTCCAGACAGGATGCTGAATGTCTGGCTGAGGTGCAGGGGGCCCAGGCAGGGTCCAGGGGGGCCAGGCAGGTTGCAGGGGGTCCAGAGAGGGTGCAGGGGGTCTGCTTGGAGTGCAGGGGGGGAAAGCAGGGTGCATATGGGGGCTAGTCAAGAGCAGGGGGTCTCTTTGGGAGACAGGGGGTCTACGTGGGGTTTGGGGAGCCCTTACAATATGCACAGCTGCCAATCAGGGTGCAGGGGGGGCCAGAGATGTTCCATGGGGGCTAGTCAAGGTATAGAGACCACCTGTTTGGGGTGCAGGGGGTCTTGTTGGGGTGCAGGAGACCCAAACAGGTGCAGGGGGACCAGGCAGGTTTCAGGGGTGTGTTTGGGGTGCAGGGGGTCTGCTTGGAGTGCAGAGGGCACAGACAGGGTGAACAGAGGGGAAGCGGGGCACATGGGGTCTAGTCAAGTGCAGGGGGTCTGGTTGGGGTGTGTGTGTGTGGGGCAGACAAGGTGTATCAGGGCTGGTTGGGGCTCAGGGCATCTGCTTGGGGTTCAGGGGACCTAGACAGTGTGAAGGGGCACAGGACAGCCTGTAGGGATGCCAGAGAGTTTGCAGGGTGTCCGGTTGGTGTTCAGGGAGGCCAAAGAGGTTGCAGGGGGTTTTCTTGGGGTTCAGGGCACCCAGACAGAGCGCATGGGGGCCAGACAGGTTGCAGGGGCCTTCTTGGGGTGCAGGGGGCCCAGACAGGGTGCATGGGATCTAGTCAAGGTACAGAGGGACTGTTTGGGGTACAGGGGGTCTGGTTGGGATACAGGGGTCTCAGACAGCATGCAGGGCGTTTTGCTGGGGTGCAGGGGGCTCAGAGAGGTTTCAGGGGGTTCTGGTTGAGGTGCAGGAGCTCTGTTTGGGAAACGTGGGACCCAGACAAGTTGCAGGGCATCTGTTTGCTCTGCATGGGGTTCAGGCAGGGTTCAGAGCGTCCAGGTGAGGTGCAGGTGGCCCAGACAGCGTGCAGGGGTTCTGTTTGGCATGCAAGGCGTCCAGGTGAGATGCAGTGGGTCTGATTGGGGTTCAGGGCACCGAGACGGAGTTCAAGGGGTGCAGGCGAGGTGCAGGGTGTTTTGGTTGGGCTGCAGGGATTGTAGACAGGGTGCAGGGGATATTGCGGGGGTGGAGGGGGTTCAGACTTGTTTCAGGGAGTTCTGCTTGTGGTGCAGGGGGCCTGTTTGGGAAGCAGGGGACACAGACACGTTGCAGGGGGTTCTGGTTGCGGTGCAGGGGGTCTGGTTGTGGTGCAAGTGTGTCAGGGTGCAAGGGGTCTTGTTGGGGTTCACATGGTTCAGACAGGGTTCAGGGGTTCTGGTTGGTAGGGGTCTCAGGCAGGGTGCAGGGGGCCTTGTTGGGTTGCAGGGGGTTCCGACAGTGTTCAGGCGTTCTTGGGAAGTTGGAGGAGGTTCTGTTTGGGGTAAAGGGGTGCTGTTTGTGATGCAGGGGGCCCAGACAGGGTGCAGGGAGTCTTGTTGGGGTGCAGGGGGTTCAGACAGGTTTCTGGGGATCCAGACAAGTTTCAGGGCGTTCTGGTTGGGGTGCAAGGGGTCTGGTTTGGATGCAGGGAGCCTAGACAGAGCGCAGAGGGTTCAGACAGGCTTCAGGGGGTCCAGGCAAGTGTCAGTGGGATCTGGTTGGGATGCAAGGAGCCCAGACAGGTGCAGGGGGTCTTTTTGGTGTGCGAGGTGTTCAGACACGGTTCAGGGGGTTCTGGTTGCGATGCAGGGGGTCTTGTTGGGGTGCAGGGAGTTCAGACGGGTTTCAGGTGGTTCTGTTTGTGTTGCATGGGATCTGCTTGGGATGCAGGTGACCTAGACACGGTGCAGAGGTTCTTGTGGGGGGTAGGTGGTTCAGACGGAGTTCAGGGTGTCTTGTTGGCGTGCTGCATGTTCAGATAGGGGGGGTCTAGGCAAGATGCAGCCATTTCGGGTTGGGTGGATGGTTCTGGTTGGGACGCAGGGAGCCTAGACACAGTGCAGGTGGTTCAGACGGGGTTCATGGGGTCCGGGGAAGTTTCAGGGGGTTTTGGTTGGTGTGCAGGGGGTTTGTTTGGGCTGCAGGTGACCTAGACATGTTGCAGGGGTTCTGCTTGGTGTGCAGGGGGCCCAAACGGTGCAGCGGGTCTTGTTGGGGTTTAGGTGGTTCAGGCAGCGTTCAGGAGGTTCTGGTTGGGATGCAGGGGTTCTGTTTGGGAAGTAGGGTAACCGGACCCGTTGCAGGCGTTCTCTTTTGGTTCAAGGGGGTTCAGAGAAAGTGCAGGTGGCTCTGGCTGGGATGCGTGGGGTGTGTTTGGGGCGCAGGGGGTTCAAATGGTTGTTCAGGATGTGCAGGGAAGATGCAGGGGGTTCTGTTTGTGGTGTAGGGGTTCTGGTTGGGGTGTAGTGGTTCTGGTTGGGGTGCAGGGGTTTCATACAGGGTTCAGGGAGTCCAGGAGAGATTCTGGGGTTTCTGTTTGGGGTGCGGGGCCTCCAGGCAAGCTGCAGGTGTTCTGGTTGGGGTGCTGGGTGTTCAGACAGGGTTGAGGCATTTCTGTTTGTGGTGCGGGGGTTCTGGTTGGGGTGCAAGGCACTCTGACGAGTTGCAATGGTTCTGGTTGGCGATCAGGGTGCCCGCACAGGGTTCACGGGGTCCAGGCAATGTGCAGGGTGTTCTGGTTGGGGTCCAGGCGGTCTTGTCGGCATGCTGGGTGTTCAGACGCTCTTCAGGATGCAGAGGGTGTGTTTGGGGTGGAGGGCCTCTAGGGAATGCACAGGGGGTCTTGTTAAGATGCAGAGATCCCAGGCAGGGTGCAGGGGTGCTTGTTGTGGTGCAGGGGGTTCAGAGAGCATTCAAGGGGTCGAGGCAAGGTGTGGGGGTTCTATTTGGGATGCAGGGGGCCCAGACTGTGTGCAGGGGGTTCAGAGATGGTTCCAGGTGTTCTGGTTGGGGTGCAGCGTGTCTGGTTGGGATGCAGAGAACCCAGACAGGGTGCAGGGGGTCTTGTTGGGGAGCAGAAGTCACAGACAGAATGCAGGGAGTTCAGACAGGTTTCGGTTAGTTCTGGTCGTGTTGTGTGGGGTCTGGTTGCGATGCGGGTGACCTAGACGCGGTGCAGGGATTGTTGTTGGGGTGTAGGGGGCTCAGACAGGGTTCAGGGTGTCTCGTTGGGGTGCTGCATGTTCAGATAGAGTTCAGGGGTCTAGGCAAGATGTAGCCATTTCTGGTTGGGGTGCATGCTTCTGGTTCAGATGCAGGGAGCCTAGACACAGTGCAGGTGGTTCAGACGGGGTTCATGGGGTCCAGGGAAGTTTTGGGAGGTTCTGGTTGGGGTGCAGGGGGTCTGTTTGGTTTGCAGGGCCTCCAGGCAAGGTGCAGGGATTCTGATTGTGGCTCAGGGGGTCTAGGCAAGTTGCAGGGGGTTCTGTTTGGTGTGCAGGGAAGCAGATGACCTAGACACGTTGCAAGGGTTCTGCTTGGGGTGTAGGGTGTTCAGACAGGGTTCAGGGGGTCCAGGCAACCTGCAGGGGGTCCTCGTTGGGGTGCGGGGGGCTAAGAGAGGGTTCAAGGGCTCCAGGCAATGTGCAGGGTGTCCGATTGGAGTTCTGAGGGCCCAGGAAAGGTGTACGGGTTTCTGTGTGGTTGCAGGGGGTCTTGTTATTTTGCAAAGGGTTCAGACAGGGTTCAGGGTGTTCTAGGTGGTGTGCAGGTGTGGGGGTCGACAGTTGGGCGGGGGACCCTGAAGGGGACCAGAGCATGGATCCTGACTGGGTTCTCGCCCTTG